GTCCCACAGCTTCATACAGGTATCAACTGAGCGGCCCACTGATGTGCAATTTGAGAATGACTCCCCCGCCAGGGCCCGAGGAGGTATATTCTGATCTTCAATCCCACCCGGCCTGCTCTGCCGCTCGACCCCCCCTGTACATCTGTTGTGTCTTTGCGGAGCCCTTCCCTCCTTCACAAACCTTGCACGCACCTGGCCGACCTCCCAGTCGGGTTCCCAACAGCATCCAGCGGAACTTCGAACGAGCAGTCACTACAACGTATCTCTCACTGGAAATCGGGGAGGTTCATGCGTTGTGCAGACGGCTGCGCACATCGGGCTACACAACTAGGTAAGTCTCTATCCGCGCGGCTGCGCGGCAGTGCTCCCGCTACTTATTCCTACGGGATATACGAAATTGAAAGAATCTGTCCGTAAGAACGGTTAGATTCATTCCCTCCCTTCTCAGATATGACAGAAAGCTAACTATCCCCCCCTTAAGCCTCACTCTCTACTAACTCCCAATGTACTAACCTATTACTAAATCCGACTGCAGAATCCGGGTCGCCCGCCTCGAAAACCCCAGATTCAAGTCTTTTTCTGCCCGTTTTCATTAAGAAACGGAAAAGATTAATAATCTGCCTCCCTACTTCCTGCGCATGCACCTGGCGCTGAAGCCCATCCAAATTCATTCACTTTTCTCTCCGCCTTTCCCCGCCATACACAGCGCAAGCATTCTCTCACACTGACTAACTTACTAACTTCCTATCAAAACTAACATCACTTTCCACTTCGCCCTATCTGAAAACCTCTACCTGACTCTCTCTTTCACTCGATTCCCTCACGAATCGAGCGAGATCTTACTCCTCCATTCCTCGTCTCCGCCATCTCCCGCGCAGGTCTTTCCTTTTCTAACACTAATTCTACTCACTCAGTTCTTAAACTGACACCGCTATCATGCTCGTCCGGCCTTAGAACCCCCGAAATGCTCCTTATCCCACCCGTTTTCACTCCGAAACGAGTGGGAACGACTGTCACCACTGTCGTTTCTCTTCCCTCCCCGCCATAGCTCCTCGCTACCACTTTCCTACTAAATTTTTCTATACTAACTTTCCACTAAAACTAACTGCATATTCGGGGTCACCCACCCCGAAAACCCCTGTTGAGTATTTCCCCTCGCCCGTTTTCACTGAGTAACGGCCGAGAACTCCGACTTTGAATCTCACCATCGCTTCTTTCTCGTCACCACCACGCACGTCTCTTCTCTTCTACCTCCTCTCATACTAATCTTCTGCTAATTCCACCTCAGATCCTAACTCGCCCGCCCCAAAGACCACGAAATAGCATCTCCCCTTGCCCGATTTCACTGAGTAACGAGCACACTATCTCCTTTCCACATCGCCCATCTCTCTCCTTCTCCCATCCTCTTTGCGCATGCATGTGGCGCCTCCCCCTGTCCAGGTTCATCCGCTCCTTTCCCTGTTGCCCTCCTGTTCGTCGCCCTCCCTTTTGCTGTTGCGCTCTCCTGCTCGATCCGTCGCCACTCCCTCTTCGCTTCGCGCCTCCCTGCTTTGCATGCACCTGGCCCGCTCGCGTCCAGGTTCGTACCCCTCTTCAACTGCTTGTTACTTCCGCTGTATCACTCCTAGCGCCCGCTGCCTCTGCCGTAGTGCCCGACAATCCCCCGCCTGATGCTCCGCTATCCATCGATCGACCCGCTGCTGCTCCGCGCTGCGCAGCCCGGCCAACCCCTCTGTTCGCTTCCCGTATCTGATGCCCGCTGCTGCTGGTCACGTAGAAGTCCGGTAGCAGCAGCGCGAGCAATGTGTCCAACAACTGCCCTGAGGGGGACTTCGAAGGAAACCAGTTACTAGCCGGCTCGATTAGTCTTTCGCCCCTATACCCAAGTCCGACGATCGAACTGCACACCGACACACCTCGTGACTTCACAGGGAGTCTCCCCCGCTGTGCTCAGCCCGAGCGGGCCCCCTCTCGGGTTCCCAACAGGCAACCCACTCGTAGACCGCCCCGGGGTCGGGGGCGCAGGACCAGGTGCCGATCCTAATGGTAGTAGCCACTACTTCAAAGGGGAACTTTGATGGCCGAGGTGGGGGCGGGTTTTATCTGACCTTGCTGCTGGGCCAGCCTGCCACACAGCCAAAATCCCGGCAATCTCCTACCGGTGCCCCCTGTTCCACAAAACAGCCATTTCGTCAAAACAGACATATTATATTTTTTGAACGAAATCAAAACTGACTTTTTTTTGCTCCTGGAGGTCCGGCGTTCCCAGAACGCCGGACCCCCTACATGTCTCTGGTCTATGGTTGAGACCAGATAAATAAAAATAAAAATAAAAATAAAAATAAAAATAAAAATAAAAATTGTATCTGGTCTCAACCATAGACCAGATACATGTAGGGGGTCCGGCGTTCTGGGAACGCCGGACCCCCAGGAGCAAAATATTCCGACCGGATTTTGGCAAAAAAAGTCAGTTTTGATTTCGTTCAAAAAATATAATATGTCCGTTTTGACGAAATGGCTGTTACAACGTCTCGGCCTCAACGGGCATGCTCACACTCAAACCTCTCGCGGCGGATCGTTGCTAGCGGACGGCACACCCGCAGTGACCCTTGCCGCTGATATTTCTCCTACGTCGTGGGCCAAGGCACCCCTCGGCCCTCATGCACATTGAACTCCTCGGTCCACGCTCCAAAATGGGCAGGATAGAGGATTTTCCCCAGCATCCTGAGCCCACGGGCCCGTCAAACGGGGCGCGTATTCAAGGTCCTCGACTGCTGCAACAACAATTGAACCCGACATCACGTCCGGATTAGGAACAATATCGGGGCCTACAGATAAAAATAAGACAACAATAAATAATACAACATATAAATAAGGTCGCGCGCCCCACTGGCCCATGACGCCGCGCACACCCCAGCCCCGCATAGCCGTAGCCGGACGTCGATACCCCACGCGTGTCGCTGACCCTAACAAGGGCCTAACTTCCTCCCGTATACATGTCGTTGTGCATGCGAGGCCGTGATAGTCCGATCTGCAGGAAGCATGCCAAATACCCTTGTAAGGGTATTTGGTACGACACCGCTTAGTCCTCCCGCACCCGTCAGGTTCGCCCTCGCCTACAGTCCGTCGTGGCCTGCGTCAACCCCGTGCATTTGGCACCAGCTCGTCAGGTCGCCCGACTCCTGCTCTACTCACCTCTTACTTCGCTCGTGTGCCGACCCTTCCTGATCGCTCAACCTCGAGCTTCGAACAGCTGGTTAAGAGAGCTAACTAATCGCGCAACCGGAATTTATAGCGTGCATGCATGCACGAAGAACACAAAATTACAAGGACTTAGAAGAAGGGAAGGGGGACGAATTTGCCTACGTCTGCATGGTCTGATCGCGGCGTGGGGGTCGTAGCCGCTCTCCACGCATCGATCCGATTATGCAGACCGCGACTACCAAAAGCGCAGCAAAAGCAAGAGAAGGAGGGCGGGAAAGACGAAGCGCAAGAAGAACGATACCGTTACAATGGCGCCCGCGCAAAATTACAATTATGCACATGATTAAAGGCGCCTACTAATCAGAGTACCGTTGCAGCCGCATGAAGAAGCGCGTAGACAAAAGGCGCCCCCCGACAAGAAAAATCCTAATTATTGAATTCCTAAATTTCAATCTAATGCGAAGAAGCAAAAGCACAAATTCCAGAGGGAAAGACTGAAACTCCGAGAGCCATCGGGGCTCGACAAAATTCGAAAAAGACTCAAAAGAAAAATTCAAAAAGAACGAAGCAAATTCCCGCGCGATATCCGCACCCAAAAGTTTGGAACCGAGACAAAAGAAACGACGTCAACATTTATTAATCGCGCGCGCGGTGGCACGCCAGCCATCCAGCCGAGCAATCAATCAACCGGCCATCCCAGGACACACCCAGCTTCGAACCCAGCCATTTGAAATGAAGCGACTAAAAAGACGAAAAAGCAAGGACACTGGTGCAATTTCCCACCGATCCCGATCTCTTGTAATTGGCCCAACCTTCCCAACTTAGGACCCCTCATTGCAACCGCGCCGAAAGTCGCGCGTTACAGAAAGTGGTTCGTCACATATGTGACGCCCAGGGGGTTCCAATATTAGCAAACTCCTGCTTGCTTGTTGACACGTGCCGATTTCTCTAATCGATCGACACTCGGAGGATCTCTCTCTATGCCACTTACCGTTCAATTGAGTGTGGACGTCATCCAACGTGGCAACACTGCTCTTCTACCAATTCCTCAGGGTGGGCTTTCGACATTCCAAGGAGGGGGATTACACGTGCCGCCGTTATGACACGTGTCCACTAACCATGCATCAGTGCAAACAGGAGGGTAGACCCTAGACCCTAGACGTTCCCGGGGAATGGCAGTCGAATCATCGAGGGTGGAGGTGGCGGATGGTTCAGGGGGAGAGGGGGCATGAATCGATTGATGGCGGGAGAGGCGAAATCAGAAAGGGTTGCGTAGTGGAAGGAGCGATGGATGCGGGGGAAGCGAGGGACCTCATGAAGATGGCGAAAGGCGGCGATATCGTCGGGGTAGATGGTAGAGAGGGTCCGTCGCAGGGCGGCGCAAAAATCTTCGTAGTTTTCGCAGGCGGGAATAGTCCTAGATATAATAGAGTATATTTCTACGTGGTTATATTCCCGCCAGTCTGCGCTCAACAGAAGCATATGAAGGAGAAAGGAATCAACCACAGAGCGGGTGGTGGCATGCGGATAAACGGAGACTAGAAGGCGGGTAGCATAGAGATGGTAGAAGAGGTGATGGGGGAAAGGACACCAACCATCGGGGAACGGGGGTCTATCGGGAAGACGGGTAAGCATGAGGTAGTCACGGGGTCGGCGAGAGAACGACCGGGGACGAAGCCCGAACGCCGAGATCTTGATGTAGACGAATGGAGGACCGGGACGGGGAGCCAGAGGGAGTTGACGATTCAGTTCTTCTTCTTCTGCTCCGCGATCCCTCCGCTGCGGTTCCATCGTCTTCTTCTTCTGGCGGCTCCGGGTCACGCCACGGGTGCCCGATCGACGGATCGACAGGAGTTGGGTCGCTTTCCCTCCGCGGTCTCCTGGCGCTTCGGTTTCCTCTGCTCTTGCGCTCGTTCTCGAGCCGCGTCGCGCACCCCGGCCTCGAATCCTTCGTACTTCGACTCCGCTTGCTCGTTTTCCTCTTCTTCTTCCTCGTCTGGTTCTACCTCTTCCTCCTCTTCGTTCTTTTCCCGCGGCTGGCTCGATCCGTCAATTATCCCCGCTTCTCTTTCGGGTACGTAGTCTGGATCGTCCCGTTCTTCACCTGATGGCTCCTCTTCTTTCTCCTCTTCCTCTTCTTCCCCTATCTCCTCGTCCTGCGCCGCATTTCTCCTTGCGATCTGGTCCCAAAATGTGAGATCGGTAACGTCGATCTCCAAGTAAAGCGCTTGGGAGGGGTAGAGACAGTTGTCCTCGTCAATCTCCGTACACGTGGACCACACAAGGTGCGGCTCTATCATTCGGGACAGCACGTGGGTGCCAGGCTGCTTGTCAATGTGTGACAAGATGTCCAGGGGCAGATCGTCCACCAGCTGAGTCAGAATACGAATCCCAGCTGATCGCCCTGCTCCGCCGTTCTCCGGGCTTGGATGATCAGAAACTCCATGCTGTCCTCTGAGTGCTCTGGTCCTTGTCCGAACGGGGCCGCTTCTTACCAGCGGAACTCTATCTCCAATAGGCAGAAAGCGAGCTCGATATAGTCCTCCCACCACGTGTCCCACTTCTCCTCGCTCAATAGTGGCGCACTGTTCTCCTTAACATGGTAGGAGAGAGTGGGAGCCCGCGCAGACTGCCAAAGGGTGGGGATGCTGGAGGGGAGGCCGAAATAGGAGATGCGACGATGACTCAATTGGGCGGCGAGAAGGGACGAAGCTCCGGAATCACGATCGCTGGCGAGCTTTGAGACGAGCAGAGCTCGAGGTCTGTGTCATGCGCCGACACGACGGTATCCCCTCGTCAAGCCAGGAGATCTGTCCACACTGTCCGCACTTCCTTAGCCCAAGCACGCAACGTCTGATAGATGTCAGAGTGAATCGCTGGCGGAATTGCTGTTATATCTCCTGTAAAGACGACGACGACAACGATATGGCTAATCCCGGGAGGGGATAGCCGTCGGAAGGCCGAGATCTCGGCCAGAACACGAGTAGTTACTTCTTCCGTGAATCGGAACTCTGCCGCCACGTAGATCGCCACCGTGCTGAAGAAAGCTGCAAACCAGAGGAAATCAAAGTAGAGATGGGGCCGCTGCACCTGCCGTATGACACTGATTCGCCCCCGCGGAGTAAGAAGCCGCGCGCCAATCACTTGCTCTGTTGCAAAGCTCATGGCGATGGTGACGGGGTAATAAAGAAAGATCAGGAAGGAGACGGAGAGATAGGAGAGAGGTGGTCGTCGCCTTCCCCCGCAGTGGAGGAAGAATCGGGTGAATGCGAAGATGGAGAAGGAGGAAGGGGACGGAGGTAGGACACGTGGTGGATGATCGGGCGAGCCGATCGACTGCCAGAGACCTCAGGCGCAAGTCGCACGGTGTTCACGCCGTTCGGTCCGAGTTCGATCACGCGAAATCGCCCGAAGAATCGTGGCGCTAGCTTACCCTGGTGAGCACATTTCCTCACCTGTACAATGTCCCCTAATTTGTATTGGGGCCGTGGGCTTGCATTCCCATTCCGGGCCTCGTAGCTTCGGACCTGTCGTCCTTGGGCCAATTCGGTCATTTTGTGCCGTTTTCGGGCTAGCCTGGGCAGGGACCGTTCCATTAGTTCCAAGTGTCGTTTGGCCTTGTCCCGAGCCGTGGCCCTGGTGGGTCGCCGGTTCAGTGTAGATTCATCCGGGAGGCTTGGTATCGAAACGCAAGCGACGCTATTGGTCCTTAATTGGAAGGGGTTTAACTTCGTCGATTCATGAGGTGTACCGCGATGGACCGCCAGGATGTGGTCGACGATATCGGTCCACGGCCTCGGATCCCGTGCCGCGATATTCCATCGCGACGCTGTCTTTATCACCCTGTTCGCGTTTTCTACCAGCCCATTGGACTGTGACATGTGGGGTGCAGTGTTCCATATGGCGACGCCATGTATGACCAGATTCCTCAGTACCTCTCCCCTAAATTCAGCCCCGTTATCGGTCAGGATCTCTTCCGTATCCTGGTGCATCCCGAGAAAGCGGTCGACGTATCGCATGATTTCGGCGGTTTGTCGCGTGCGACAAGGGTAGGCCTCAATCCATTTCGAAAAGTGGTCGACAAATACCAATAAGACTGAAAACTCACATTTATTAGGACCAGGGGGCACCACTATGTCGGTAGTGTCCATGCTGACTCTTTGAAATGGCCGTTCAACTACCGTTGGCACTATCGATCTTGGTGGTTGAATTGGCGCTTTATCGGCGGCGCAGACTTGACAGTTGGCGACGATGTACTTCACATCGTCGTGGATATTGGACCAGTACCACTCATTTTTGTCGATAGCTGACTTTGTGATCCGTACAGCGAAATGAGCCGCAGTTTCTTCATGTGTCGTCTTAACCCAGTCATACCTCATGAACGGATGCGGTACAACCATCCAAATCCCACTGCCGTATGTTTTTTGTTTTTCTAATCTGCTTTCTATCCATCTGTAATCCCGAGCCCTCTCGTTGGCCCTCCTCCAATCTTCCTTGGTGAAATCCTGGAGGGGGGTTGCCAACTAGGGTGGCAATCAAGGCAATATCAGTCCATACTTCGGCCCTTCTAAACCTGCAGGTCTTTTCTAGCCCTTCTGAAGTGGCATCCCAAAAGCGAGCCTCGGTCGGAACCTTGTGAGTCCAACACAAGGGGCACAACCACGGTTTACTATCGTTTCTGTATTGGATGCACGAGCCATGGGCTCGTGCGACACACTGTCGACAATCTATCCAGTCCGCATACCCTTCCCCGTTAGGACGCATGGAGACCGAGTACACGCGGGAGATAGCTTCGCAAAAATAACAAAATTTGTCAGGCACGGAGAGGAGAGACGAAGAGGAAAGGGGAGAAAGAGGGGTAGTGGGGTTACCTCCATCACCCATTGCCACCGTTTTGCTTCTTGCCACGTGGAAGAACTGCCACTTGTCCGTACTTAAGCTCGTTTGTCAAGTCCGGCTCCTTCCACGGTGTAATTTCCTCGCCCTTCGGTACTTTAGCAGGTCGATGCAGACGTGTCAGTCCGTCCGCGTTGCCGTGTCGCTCTGTCTTTCGATGGACGATATCGAAGTCGTATTCTTGTAGTCGCACCACCCAACGGCCAATCATGCCCGTGTAATTAGTGAGTTTCTTCAACGCCAGCAAAGGTTCGTGATCTGTTACGAGGAGAAACTTTTGTCCGTAGAGATACGGATGGAAGTGCTGGATTCCCCAAACTACTGCATAGCATTCGCCTTGAGGTGCTGAGTCATTCCTTCGTTCGTCCGGTACCGTGCGAGACGCGTATTCGATGACGTGTTCATGACCATCGTTCCCCTTTTGCGCTAGAATAGCGGAGATAGCTTCCGGTTGCCAGTCCGTGACGAGAATGAACTGTTTCGAGGGGTCCGACCGAATCAAAATAGGGGCCGTCGCCAGAGCGTCCTTGAGGGTTGCGAAAGCCTGTTGGCACTCCGCGTCCGAGCTGAGAGGTTGGTCCTTCCGTAGCAGATTCGTTAACGGTTGCGCAATCGTGGAGAAACCTTGATGAATCGACGATAGTACGACGCTAACCCTAAGAAGGCTCGAACCTGCGTCAGCGACGTGGGAACTGGGGCTTCTCTTACCGCCGCAACCTTTCTTGAGTCCGACCGCAGTCCTCCACGTGTCACGACATAGCCCAAGAACGAAATTTCCGAGAGAAAAAACTCGCTCTTCTCGAGCACGATCTTGAACCCAGCGTCTCTCAGCGCTCCCAATATTCACTCGATATGTTGCGCGTGCCTGTGATAGGTCTCTGAGTAGACAAGGATATCGTCCATATACACGATTACGCAGAAGTTGATCATCCCCTGTGTTAGCCGGGTCTTGTTGACGAAGTTCTAGAACGTCATGTTCATTGCTCGCTGAAACATGGCAGGCTCGTTGCAAATCCCCATCGGACACTGGACCCACTGCCACGTGCCTTCAAATAACACGAAGATTGTCTTTGGCCGATCTTCCTCCTTCACCAGAATATGATGGAAGCCATGCCGAATATCGAACTTGCTAAAATAATTGGCGCAACCAATTGCATCCAGCAAATCATCAATTCGGGGGAGGGGATACACATCCTTAATCGTGATTTCATTCAACTTGCGATAATTGCATATATGAATTGATCTGTTTTTCTTCGGCACGAATACCACGGGAAATGACCATGGTCCGGTGGCGGGTTCTATCCATCCGCTGGCTTCGAATTCTCGAATTTGTTCGAGAGCCTTTTTGCGCTCTATCAGGGAGTATCGGTATGGTTTGCAGTGGATCGGCGAGTGATTCCCCATCTGAATACCTACGACGTTCTCTTCGGACTTCCTGCTCTTGTGGCGTTACGAGCGAGCCTGGATTTCGAACGACGATCGATCGTCCTCCGAAATACAGGAGGAAAACCCTATGCTGTGCCTATGAGACTAACCTTTCGTACCACCATCAACGCGGTCCCACGGGTTTCGCCGATGATGGCAGGGACTCTCCGCATGATCTCCTGGGATGAATCCGCAGATGGGGAATCATGAATGAATGATGCGGACAGCAATGATGAGGACGATCCGGAAATCTCGAAGCTAGCACGACAGCGTGTTTACTACCCGCCACCCAGAACGATAGCAAGAACGATGCATCTGACTTGTAGGAACGTTCAAAGGACCAAGGCGATGATCTTGGGTGAACCCCTCGTGCAAATTTCGAGGATGGTCGATTCTTTGGAACCCCCTCAAACCCTATACGAAGGGATCACCCCGCTTCTCTCCCGATACCGCGACAAAAAGCATTACTGCGACATTACGGATCTACCGAGGTCCCTCTTGACACCTGCAAAAGAAGTGCGACTGTTGCACCTGGCGGCTGAAGCCAGTTCTTTGGAACCCCCTGGGCGCCTTGAAGCTGACTCAAATGAACTTGGAGTAAAGATCGCAACTAAAACCGTACCATGGCAGGATGTCTGTGACAGAATCACCCCAGAAGGACACGTGGCCATTCGGGAAGAAGACGCACAAAACAGATAGACGTACGGATCAGGGACCAACTCTTTGAGTTACATGGGTCACAGTACGTACCAGATGAGATTCATCGGTTGATTGCGGGTATGGCTGCAAATTGGGGGTTCACCAGAGTGCCGCTTTGATCTGTATTTGACTAGTGGTTGCGTACCTTGGCTACCATTGCGGGGCCCTCAGGCGCGTCAAGGTAGCAAGGTCCTCTCACGCGAGTCTGAGAGCACCCTCCATGTATCTTAGCGACTCAAACTTCCTATTTTTGCCCTTCTTACTCTAAGTCTGGTCCATTGGTTCTGAGAGGAAGGCGGCAGGCGGGATTGCAACCCGTAGGTCCGCGTCAAGACTCTGTGGGGAGTCCACCCACCGATTGCGGGAGCCGTGCCGGTACTAAGGAGGAGTTCTGGAGGCAGGGAATCGTCAGGTAAACCACTTCCGTCTGCACAACCTACTACCACCCATGTTTGTTTATCCCCCTGCAGTATGACTGTTGTATGTATGAGGTTGTCCCTATGGTTTTTGCTTTCTCTTCAGGACTCAATCAGACTGAATGGAAGGAACGTGTGAGAGTGAAGCCTAAGTTTCTTCTTTATTTTGGTTGAAAGCAGACAAAAGGGATAAACCGGGGGAAGGTGGGAGGAAGGTAGCCTTGCATGCGTTTCGAAGGGTCAACCAAAGCCTGAGCATTGTTTCCATGGTGAATGGCTTAGGGCTGTGTTTATTTGACTGTTTTCTGAAGTACCAGGCATTGTTTCCATGGTGAATGGTCTGGTTGCTCTAGTTAACTTTGGGGGTTTGCCTGATTGAAGGAGTTTAAGTTCTTGTTTATTCTGAGGGAGGATTTCTGGTCTAAGGCTAAGCATTGTTTCCATGGTAAATGGTTTAGCCTCAAAACCACGCACATAAGTTAAACTAAGTATAAAGAGAAAATACTTTATATATATTTGCATGTGAACTGGCAGTTGGGCATTGTTTCTATGGTGAATGATCCAGCGTTAAGCCGTATCATCAAGAAGAGAAAGGAAAAAAATATGAAGTACAAATGAAAATAATCTGGGCAAGCTGAACATTGTTTCCATAGCGAATGGTTTAGTCACCTACCCATATTTGCTTTCCTTTTTGAAAACAAAGGCAGAGAAATGCTAAATTTTGGATATTAAACGGCTCAGGGCGGCCAGGCATTGTTTCCATGGCGAATGGCCTAGTCATATGCCCAAAAGAAGAGAGAAGTAGTTGTGCAACCTGTTTGTGTATATCTTAAAGGCAAGTTGGACATCGTTTCCATGACGAATGGTCTAACTCTATGTCTTATGTAAAAGGAAAATAAGGGTTCAAGGACTTAAAAGATTCATAAACT